TCCTGCTGCTTCTGAGCATGCTCCTGAATTTGTCTTGCTGGACTCCTTTGTGGCACAGCAAACACTCCTTTTCAAAGGGAAGCGTGGTATACCATTTCGTTTAGCCCCTCCCTCCTCCCCCAGCGTTACACCAGTGGGAGTCAAGCTTTCAGGCCACGTAGATAATGTACCTTCCGATGGCAGGGAAAGGTGATGTCTAAGAGCGTGGCCTCTGTCACACAATCCTAGATGCAGGTTGTACAGCCGTGTGTCCAGCACTGCCTTGTAGGTGTACTCATAGCTCCCTGCCTGCTGTGTCTGAGATGCATGTGAGAGAGAAGCTGCTGCTCGACTTTCTGCCATGTGAGTGATTCAGAGTAGCCTGCTCTTTTCCACAGGTACTTAGACCTGTGCAAGAAATGGGCTGTAGTCCAGGAGAACTGTTCAGACAGAAACATCCTGCTCCCAGTTGCCCTGTCCCCCTGAGGGCTGTCGGTTCCTCCTCTGTCGTGGATATAACTGCCATGGAACAGCCGCTGGGAAACGTGGTGGCCTCAAGGCTGACCATCTCCCTTTGCAGAGTATTTGCTTGAGACAAGGACATGCTTTCTCCAGAGTCTCCCAGGAGTAGTGACAGCTCTTGTTTTCTGGGGAAGAAAAGTCTTCCATTGTTTCTAGCAGAATCCCAAAGGTCCTCTCAGAGAGGGGTGGGATCGCCAAGATACCAACTTTTAATGCTTTCAGTGCAAGGCACATCGCTGTTGATCATCGCCTTTCCCTCAATGCACCTTTGTGTTCTCTCTTGGTCTTTTTAAACAATTGCAAAAGAAGAAACCTCAAAAAAATCTGTGCGGTTTGAACACAGTGATAATTAAGCAGTAATCACATTTGATATGCTTTACTGTTTTTAATTAAGCTCTGTGGGAGGAGGTTTCTCTTTAACAAATGAAAATTATTTCTGTGTCAAGGAAATGTACTAAAATGTTCATTTTGGAAATGCTGATGTCCAGTACATTGACATTAATGATCAATTATTAGCAAAATCATATATAATTTGGGTGTTGTCTTGATTTTCTTAAGTGGGGGGAGAGAGGCATGTGGTTTCTTGTACCAAATCAGTCTTGGTTTTGCTTGAAAAAACTTATTTTACTAAAAGTTAGAAAATTTTCCTTTTTTAGTTTTTATACAGTTCATGCAATTTTTGCTTTATAAGGACTGCAGCAGGCAACACATTCATTTGTGGCTTCCTCTTTTACTTAGAAATTCATGTCTGTGTTACTCATGCTGCAATACAGCTGTGCTTGGCAGAATACCTGCCTTGAGGTACATGGCTGTGCCAGGCCTCTACACTGATTGTACTTACAACTCTTCCTATTTGTTTGAGCATAACTATTAAACTATGTGCCAGCTTTTGTGGGAATAAAAATGTGGAGGTTTTAGTATATACCTTGGTAATAAGGTGTATCTGTTCTACTGTTATTGTACTAAACTTCTTGTCCATGCTGTCTTGCCTGTCAGACCAGCCCATGCAAATAAGGACGTCTAATATCAAAGTATATTTGTACTAAGGAGTTTGTGTTCAAGCACTTAAAATGAGGACAATAGTTGGTGAAATATTTAGTAGTGGGAGAAATACAGTGCTTCAGTCTTGATGCCTGATGCATTGCATCTGTGTGTGTTTTGAGATACCAGCGCTTACCAGAGGAACCTGTGGTCAAAACTGGTCTTTTTGTGCTCTGTCTCAAAGCAAATGAGCAACTGGTTTTGTGGGGCAAAAAGATTGAATGCTCTGGCACTGTGGGATTTACTGAATTCTTTATAAACTTGAGGAACAGAGGCAACGCTGGCTTTGCAGTTGGTTTGTGGTTTGAAATAAGCACGCAGGCCTCTGACAAGCTGTAGTTGCTATAAGCAGGATTTTTGGCATTGAACATTTCTCTCATCCAGCTGGAAAACAAAACAAACCCCAGTTGTTAATGAGGCAATGTTAATGCATTCATCTTTGCATCCCTTTAGAATTAACAAACCAACATGAAGCCCCTTAAAAGTGTAAGTTAATCTGCAAGACACTAAATCAAGCATCCTCGTAGCTGGTGCATTGCAGCTCTGCCTCTAGGAAATGCAGCTTATTTAACCAAGACATGATGTTACTTTGCATTTGAAGAATCCATAGCAAATCAAAATCTAATCCAGGCTCTCAGCTTGTACTGAAGTGATTTTTTTATTTTTTTTTTTTGGCGTCGTGGCAGTCTCCCATGACAATCAGCGGTAGTTCTTGTCCTAATGATGTCATCGTTCAGTCTCCCCGCCGCTACCGTCCCTCCGATTATATAGAGAAAATAAAGACTGTTGTGACTGACAGAGGAACTGAACAGTTTGTTCACCAAGCATGTAACACGTTTGACTTTGGTAGCGTATTTATAAGCATGCTGTGTTTTAACTGGGTGATCTCATTGCCTCTGAGGAAGAGAGGTTATAGAGACAGATGCTGAAGTCTTCATGTCTAGTGAAAAACAAGGCCTCGGTAGCTCATGGAAAAAAATACGTTTATATCTGACATGAAATTGTTGAACTAGAGCCATTTGTGAAGAGATGAGAGAAATTTTATACTTGATGCAGAAACACTAGACTAAATGGGGCTGGATTTATTTTGAATTAAACAGATTATACTTTTTTAAATACAGTTGAAAGGGGAAAAAAATTTTAAAATATCTCTGAAGAGGTAAAACCAAACAAAGATCCCTGTGTTGCGCTTGAGTGGATGAAACATCTCTAGGTGTGTCTGAATCAAACACACTAGCTGTTGAACAGTGTTTTGAATAACAAACTTTGCTGGTCATGGTAACAGCTGTAATGGAATATAGTTGTGTGGTGTGTACAAATCTGTGCTAAATGAACATGATTAAAGTGGGGAAGAGCACAGTTAAGTTTCACCAAGTAATCTTAGCTCAGCCTTGGACAGGCAATGTTAATATTTTTCCTGTCAAGAATTCCTTATCTTCGGTAATAGTCGTGCTGGGGATTAAAGAGGCAGGTTTTGTGTGCAACACAAATTAGAAATGTTGGGGTACTGAGGCATTTCAGTGAGAAGGCAAGAACGGGTATGTCATGTGCATATGCAAGGGCCTAGGAAACACAAGTGTGAAGCACAGTTTCCTTCTCTTGCTCATGACCTGGCATAGATATATGCATATATGCCACACATGGAGGGGAAATGCATTCCCCAGTTCTTCACTGGTGTTGCCTCACCCACAAGGAAATCCATACCCGAGCCATTTTGCTTTCACACTTGTGGCTGGAATGTCGTGATCCGTTTGCTCTATAGGTACAATAAACTTAAAAGTCTATCAAATAACTGATGTGCCTTTTGAGAAGTATGCAGCGATGCAGACCACTACAAGCTGAACAGGCATATTGCAGGTAGAGCAGCAAGAAAGTCTTTGAATTCAGATGAAGTTTTGGAAATAAAGAGATGTCATTATAAGGGATGCAGAGAGAAGAAAGCTTTTTTGAAAAGAGAAGTTAATGTTGATGTCTGTCTGTCTTGTAGGTACATACATTCTGACAACTGCCCTGCTGCCCCTCCTGGAGAAAGAAGCTGACGCCAGAGTGGTGAGTCGGCGATGCTGTTGAGAAGTGGTGCTTTACTATTCTTACCGTCTGGTTTGTGACAGCATTTCTTTGACTGTGCTAGCAGTGCAGGGTTAGTTTCAATGCTGTAAGCATCTCCAGAAACCTCTTGGATTTTGCTAACGGCAACCTCCTTCTGCAAGGCAAAGCTCCTGCCTGATACTCTCAACCCTCCACTGGAAAGCAGAGTAAAACACTTCCTTTTGAAACTTCCCCTTTTGTTTTCCCTGGGGCAAGTTGTCTCTTGCAGCATAGTGCAGAATACCTATGACAGGAGTATAGGCTTAAAAGAACCTTACAGGTCTTGGTGTAAAACAGGGCAGCAGGTACATTTTTTAACTGAAATTTCTGAAGTTTTGTACAGTACATCCTGTTTTCTAATTAACGTCTATAAATGCTAAACATATAAACTGCAAATAGTGCTATTCTGTTATTTTCTTTCTCTCAATTACTTTTCAAAAGGAAGAAGGACAAAGTTCTGTGATGGAGTCGACACCACTTTGAATGAAAATCACTTTCTAAAAAAAATTCTATTTCTTCCAACTCATCTCCAGGTACGCTCCACACATGAGCACAGGCATAGTGCAAAGAGTATGCAGAGGAATCATCCTCCTCCTCCTCCTCCTAGGGACTGCAAAATATGGCCTGAAGACCACATTGCATGCATGAGCATGATTGCGGGGTTTTATTTTTCATTCATTTGCTTTTCATTCATTTGTTTTTTGTTAATTTGATTACAGGTAACTGTTTCTTCTGGGGGCATGCTAGTTCAAAAATTAAACATATCTGACTTGCAGTCGGAAAATGGGACATTTGATGGAACTATGGTGTATGCACAAAACAAGGTACAGTCCGTGGTTTTTGGAACAAAGCCCAGCACTTGTTTGGTAGGCAGCTTATACCGTCTGCTTTGCAAAAAGCCCGTTGTTCACTGTTGCTTTCCCATTGCATCCAACCCATACAGAGCTTTAACCTTCCGGAGTATGATGGCATTTATGAGTGCATACCATTTTGTGTGGAGAGCATGGCTAGATTTTCATTTGGTTTGATTTAAGTCGCAGGGGGAAAACTATCTTTAGCTGACCCACCCCTTCTGCCTGCTTAGTTCTTACCTACAGTCCACAGCAAGTAGACGTGGTCAGTGAAAGCAGTGTAACCACTTTAAAAGTAACCTTGTGGCCAGGATATGGACTGCAGTGACCACAGTGGTCTCTGACAAAGTTCGCCAATAAATGAAATCAGGATGAGCAAGGATATATTTCTGCTACACATAAATGCCCTGATATTTACAGCATATTTGGTGTAGCTCATCTGCCTGGGAACTAACTTGGTGGACAGGCTATTGAACTTGATGCTAGTCTGGCTCTTTTTGCTCTATCCTAGAGACAGCAAGTTGTCATGACAGAACAATGGGCAAAAGCTCACCGAAACATCCATTTCTCCGTTATGCACCCCGGCTGGGCAGACACTCCAGGTAACATCTGCTTGACATTCTATATATTCTATATATTCTATATATTCTGTATTCAATACACAAGTATTTTTTGTCTTTTCAGAATTAGTCTAAAAGCAAATTGAAATGAGACTTTCTGGTAGATTTCTCCAGCAGGTGCAGTGACTTCTTGGCTCCAAACTTGTGCTTGCAGTAGTTCTGTACCCCCTTGGTAGCTCTGTTCTGCACAGTGTATGCAGTCTGTGTATAGCCAGAGAATAATAATGGGCAATGAATTGTTCCAGCCCCACGCAAATGCACAGTAGAGCCATAGTGCGTTAAGCTAACCTTTAAGTTACATTTGTAGTGGGACTGTTAAATACACAGATGAGAGCTTTTGCCTCCATGAGTACCAGCGTGGAGATGCTGGGAATTTGCAAGGGCATATAGGAAAACAGAGCAAGCCCTGTTCCTCTGCTCTTCCTCTAAACGTTTATTGCTGCCGAGAAGCAGCGGGTTTGGCCAGACAGCCCTTTGTCTGAGCTGCAGCTGTTCTTCAGTGACTGTGTCTCCGCAGGCGGGCCAGCATCAGTTATCCAGTATGCGTGTTGCGTTCTGCAGTTTGTTACCAGCCCCTAACACCCAAGCTTGGGATGCAGACTAGCAATCTGATCTCTAGGTCTTTTCTGGGGATGCAGTTTCACAAATTCACTTTTGATGACAGAAACACTTACTCTGTCTGTTTTATGCTTGAAAACTGCCCTTTCCAACTAAATATCCTGGTATTTCTTTTTCTTTAAGATAGATGTATTTTTGCACATCCTTTGTGGATTGCAAACCTAATGAACCATAAAGTTGTCCCACCTGAAAGTTCAAGGAATCTCCAACCCCCCAAAATAAGCAGCTGCAGGGGATGGGCCTTCATTCATCACCTGTTGGACAAAATAAAAAGAAACCAGGGTTTAAACATGAATTATATGGTTGGTGTAGGTACTGTTCAGCATAGAGTTTTTAAATACAATGCTGCAGCTGGTTTCCTGGGTTTTGGTATTTCTGTTTCCCCCATGTCTTATTTCTTTGCAGTTTAGAATGGCATTGGTTCAGGAAGCTCTTGCTGATCCTGTTCTCAGCTCCTACTAGTTTTGTCCCTGTAATTTGACCCAAACAAACAACTGGTGGATCATCTGGAAGCTTAGCATTATTCCACCATAAGTCATCGTACTCCTAGCTATGGGGAAATACTTGTTCTCTTCCATAAACTCTGAGATGCTTTCTCTTCTTCCTGTGCTCACAGTGGCGATTTTAACCTGCTCTTTTTTTTCTTTAATCAAAAAAAGCCTTGCATGGCAGACCACTATTCCATTGTTTTTCTTTCTAGCTGTGAGATCGTCAATGCCAGATTTCTATCAAAAGATGAAGAATATTCTGCGCACAGAGGCCCAGGGAGCTGATACTGTTGTATGGTTGGCAGTATCATCTGAAGCAACAAAGTTACCGAGCGGCTTGTTCTTCCAAGGTAGGCCAGCAGTGTGTTACACTGGGTAGCAGTGGAGATCCCTCAGCTGCCTGAACTGTAGGATCCCCATCTGGCCTGGAAGGGGATCAAGGCTCGACCAGGCAACCGTTGCTCAAAGGATAAAGTATTTCTCAAAATCGTTCCAAGACTAAAGGTTCAAGCGAGCATTGTACAACCAGAGAATGACTGTGTTAAGTTATGTTCCTGCTTTTGTCCTTTAAAGTAGCTGATAGAGACTTCAGAGCATTTCTTTAGGGAGGGTTGGGTTTTTATTAATGAAAATGGCTGTATGCAGGACTGTGCCAAGGGAAGGGATATCAAAGCAGGCAAATAGCATCTTTTATGATGCTGGGAAATTAGCATCCTTCTCACAGAGCACTGAGGTTGGCTTTGTTTTGACAGGCTCTTCCTCCTACCGTTCCATGCTAGTTGAAACTGCCAATTCCCCCTTTCTCTAATGCTGGGCAGAGACTTGAGCACAGTGGCATTTTTGGCACTGCAAGCATAGGGAATGGAAAAATAGGGCAGAGTCTGTCTTGTCTCGCAGGCAAACGACAGGCATGTTAGCAGCTGGAAGCATAGGTGTCTTAAAGGCGATGCAGATCAGTCCAGAGGGAGAAAGGCAAAGCTCCGGGTAATTGCTTGCAGAAACCGAGTACGTTTGTGGGATGTGGCACTCAAATCCTGATTCACTGAATTTCTAGGTGGAGCGTGGAGGAAGTTCAGACTTTTCCAGAGTCGGGTAGATTTTGTCCCTTCTGTCCCCTCCCAGACAGACACATGGGGTTGGCTGACAGATATTTAACCAGACCTTTTTCATGCCATCCTGTGGTGCATGCAGAAATCCCACATCGCAGCCTGGTCAGTCTTCTTCATAGAATCAGGCTTTGCCTTTTTTGTACTCCTGTCACCTTCTTCTGGTCCTGATGGTTCTGCTCAGTTGTTCTTTCTCTAGATCATCACTCCACCAGACTCTTGCCTTTGGCCTTTGTCTGCGCCCAGCTTTATTAAACAGGGAACATGCCTTGGCTCTTCAGCTATAGCTATTGACTTGTGAGAGCTTTGATCGTGGTGTGACTGCTCTTAAGGCTGCAAGAGAAGTCCTGTGTCTGCGTCCAGTGCTTACCAAATAGTGATGAAGTCAGTTATTTCTCTCTCCTGCTGCCCTATGGAAGCCACAGCTTAGTAAGGGCCCTCTTCAGGCCCTTTCAGTAAAGGGCTTTGTGTGCAGGGCACTTTACCACAAACCCTGCTCTTCTAGTCCTAGGCGGCCATTTCCTGAATCAGTCACATCTCCCCTCCATTTCCTCCGTTCTCTTTTGTCGTTCCCTTTGAGTGCAAACCAAAGCCAGCAAATACTTTTTTCCTGAGGAAAAAAATGGGAAATGAAAACATGACTTGTACAACCAGAATTCTATGCCTATGCCAAAATAAATAAAAAATGCTTGACAGAGTCCTGCTTTCCAAAGACTAGAAGCATCTTCTCCGTGATGCTGAACTTGGCTTTCACACATAGTTCCCAAACTTTAGCACAGGCTGCTGGAAGCACTACAGTTGGGTAGGAAGCAGTTCATATTCAGTGGCGGAGAAGGGGATGTTCCTCTGCATATGTATCTTTCCTCAGGTTTCCACGAGCAGAGGTTATGTGGTATATGCAGCCAGTTACAACATTTGCACTTAAGAGAGCAAACATCTCTACTCCCCTGGGAAGCCTGATGGCAGCCTGATAGGTTTTCAGGGGAATCTGCTGCCCAGTATTGTAACAGCTTGCTCTTTTAGTCTCAGCTGGCTGTTGCAGAAGTTGGACTTACTGAAACAGTCGAACAGCGCTGCACCAGCAGGTTGTTTCGTAGACATCTAAGAGCACTGTCGTAAGGTTCCCAGGCTCTAGATACCATGACTTTGGAGAGAAAAATCCTGTAGAATGGATGGTGATACAGCTGTATTTACACAGTGAGCGAGGGGTATGAGATTTGGAAAACCAAGCAAAGCATCAAATTGAGCAAATTTGGTCAAACATCTTTACTTTGGATACATGTTACTTACGGTGATTGAGCAATTAGTGTAAGTACTTTACAATTAGAATTTCACCATTTATTTTTAAGGATGAAAGTAAGCATTTTAAGATATAAACCAAACTACAAAGTCCCAGCTGGGGAGTTTGTGTACCGAAGTTATTGGTCTTTGTCTACAGGAGTGACACTGGTGATGGGGAGCAGGTGCAAATCCCCTAGTAAGGCCTTCCTTTCTCTCTCCTGTCCTTAGCTGCCAGTGAGGTCCCTTGCTCCCCAGTCTAAGTCATACTGTGCAAAAGGACAGTCATTCTAGTTCCAGAATACAAATGAAATTAGTTTAATTTCTCGTTTGGAAGATATGCTTAACTAACATCATTTACAGAAAGCTAAAAGGTAAGTTTCCTGGCTTCAAGACCATGAGGTATGTTTAGGAAATATATTGCCTAGCAGAAAGATCTTTTGTGCTAGAAGAGGTCGTTAAATCATAGAACCATAGAATATCTCAAGTTGGAAGGGACCCATAAGGATCATCGAGTCCAACTCCCATGATGTACGCATAAGGTTTTTTAATTTTTTTTCTTCCAGACAGGCAGCCAGTCCCTACACACTTACCACTGGCAAGCACCCGCAGTCTGCCAGAGGACGAGGAGAAGCTAATGGAGGTGCTGGAAGAGTTCTCCCAGAAGTTTAAATCCACTTCTCCAGCAACTTAGTGTCACTCCTGACACAGCGTAACCACAAAGCTACTAATTACACAGTAAGAGTACTGTGGTGCGCCTGCTGTTGAGGGGAGGTGGGATGCCCTAGGCCTGTTGGAAACAAATGGTGTTCAGGTGTTCTTATCATGGGGGAGAGCGGCGCCTGCAATTTTTTTTTTTCTGCTGCTGAGGGTCTCTGTGAATCTGCACCTGCTGTCTCAAGACACAGTAAGGCTGTGTTCTTTGAATTAGATGAAAAATTGGGAAGCCTTAAAACAAAATCCAAGACTTTGTGGTTACCCAAAATCTTTTAAAACTCAGCATACAAAGAAATGCAGAGGAGTGTACCTTCAGTAGCCCCCATGAAGGACCTCAGAAAAGAAGCAGTGATGTTTTAAACAATGTTTAACCATTGTATTTGACAGGTTGGTGGCTTCCTTCACTGTGAGGGTCACTGGGCTCAAAACTGTAACTGGGAATGCAGAAACTCTCTCTTGTATCACCTGCTTGGTTTAAATGGAAGGATTCCTCATGCCTCCAGTTTCTATAAATCAGTGCTGGTATGCAGAAGTGATCTGCTTCCTCATGTTTAAACAGCAAGAGTTTAGGAACGCTGCCAAATGCCTTCCACATTACTTTATGGAGCCAGGGCTGAATATTACCCCGTTTATGTCAAGACATTGCAAAGTAGGAGGTTTCAATGCATACCACCCCCAGACTGGCTGGATCCAGCGGAGAAATGGCTGCGTGACTAGGCATGAGGAGAAATAACATGCTGAGCTGTATGTGCTTGTCATTTCTGGGAAAGATCAAAAAGGGAATTGCTTTATCATTATGAATGGATTAAGAGGGGGAAGGGAACACTGAGGGGCACAGGTTTTAGAGGAGAAGTCCACCTCCTGGTGAGAGGGTTGTATTTTACCTGGAACTGTTTATTTCTAGACACAGAGGATGGGATTCATCTTACCTGACCTGTGGACATTTGAGTTGCTCCCTGAGATTCTCAGTGTAAATCAGCAGAGAGAAAACAGACTTCTTTGCAGTGATTTACCAGATCTAGTTTAAGAAACAACCCCTACATTCCTACATCTTTCTGCTGATGGTGAAGACAACCAGCTCAGACTAAGACATTCAGGTGGGATTCATTTTGTCTTCCATATATCAGATTTACTGCAAAGCCAAGACTATTAATAACAATAGCAGTAACACATTTTCTCCTGAATGGAGTGTGTTTGATAGCAAATTGCATGCAGAACCCAGCCACGTTGCACTGCTGTTTTACACGTGGCTGCGGACCAGTGTGGTAGGACAAACGACCTAGACACAAATATAATGCAGGCGTTGTTGAGTTCTCTGCAGTGGCTGGAAGCTGAAGGCCATGCTGATGGACAGAGGAGAACTCGTTATGTCCACTTTACACAATTCAGTTTCCCAAAAGATACCCTGCTGGCTGATGGCGTTTACTTATTATTCGAAGACACCCTATTAAGTACGAGTTTAGAAAAAACTTCTTTGCAGCCTTGGCTTTACTGTCAGAGAGGCCCTGAAATACGTTTTCCCATGATAAGCAGTGCTGAGACACGTCCGGCTGCCACAGCTCTTCCTGAAGAAGCTGGGTCAGCGTTCAAACTATTGCTTCATTTTTAGTGACTTAACTCCTCATGCCATAGCGAAAGAAAACAACAGCAAGGCTTGTACAGACATTTATTTCCTAAAAGTCTGGTATGAACATTTTACATGATTCAAACTGTTAAATACAGTTACTGAAAACAAGAGCATGGCTGGAAGCATATATAGTAACTACATTTCTCTATCCGGTAGCTGAAAAGCTAATAAAAACATTTGCATACTTGAGTATTTAAGTCAAGTTGCAGTCTCTACAGCGTAGAAAAGTTTAATGACTGGTATTTAAATAGTTCATAAAAATAACCAGAAGTGCACAATATATATATAACACATATATTTTAGTTGACATTCTGTACTGATGTATTTGAATAGCCTATGTTTTTCTTTTTAGTCACAGCTTAAAAATGAATCCAAAGGTATGAAAATGGCTTTAATCAAAGTTTGGTCACAGTGTAGAAGAGCCAGATACTACGGTTTAAGAGCACTTGTGATTTAAAAAGAACTGAAACACAGGACAGCTATTAGAAACAAACTCCGAAGTCTCCCACACTTTGGCATTGTCCTGATGATGCTTTATTCCAGCCCTTTTCCGCTCAGAGCAAACGCGGCATGTGGCTGTAAAGCCAGCAAGATGCTTTGTGTTAATGCAATTCAGAATAACTTGTAGCTGCACGTAAGCAAATACATTTAGTGCCACCTGTGAAATTACAGGGGCAAGGCAAGACAGGCATCCAGTGACAGAAGACCAGATATAGAAAGTGGTGTACATGCTTGCTGAGCAGTGCGCACTGAGGCCTTCAGTACACACCTGGCTTGTAGGGGCCGAATGACAAGCGCAGCAGCTGTTCTCGCTGCCCTTCTCCTTTCCACGGCCAGCCCAACACTTCTTGCGTCAGCTTTCAGGCTTGTGTGACTCTGACCTCCACTGGTTTAAACGTGCTGAAGGCTTTCGGATTATTCTTTATTCTGTGAAGTCACCTAGGTGGAAGGTTTCTGCTCTCGAGGATTTTGCACAGAGGAGAGTAGAGCCACAGACCATGTGTCAAGTCGTGTCCCCATGTCCTTATGGAAAGGCACAACCTGTCAACAGAGCAATGGGACTCACTGCGATGAAGCGGGGGCCACTGAAACCTTTCTCTGTCTTGGGTGAAAATTTTAGGGGGGTCAGTGTAACAGATATCAGACAATTTTTTTAAACTGCATTTCCTCTTCTCCTAAGTTTAATTTCTGGGCCTCATTTATTCTTCGTAAAAAAACCAAAGTAAAACAACCTATGGTTGATTAAAGGTATAAACAATGGTTTGTCCTCTGCCTTTGAATAGCAGGGCATTCCCAGTCACTGTTTTGGAGTAAACTGCAAATGCCAACTGTTTGCATTTGCAACAACACACCTGCCAGTTTTTGTGCTGCCCTAACTCTCCACACTTACACTGTTGCTCTCACTGGGAACAAGATGCAAGCAGGGACACCGCTTCCTGTGAAACAAGGCTCGGGTGGGACGCTCAACATCCCCTGCCTGGGCTCAAAGACGGCAGTTTTACTATAGCCTTCACGGTAAACAGACTTAAGATGGTGCTGAAAAACTCAGTGTAAAGAATTTATTTGGTGAGACACAGCTTTGGGCCAGACATTTCCATTTCCAATTCAATCACTGATTGTGTTTTTGGAAAAACAAAGCATTTTTTTTGAAGCCAGAGCGGTAAGAACAGTACTAGTTTTCATTAACCACTGTTGAACTCGGTGAGCAGGGAGCGAACATGGAGTTACTCTTTCAGAGAACAACGTGGTGGTCACTGACTGCAGTGGAGAAGGGCAGCTACAAACTAGTTTAATCCCTAAGTTCCTTTTGCCCAGGCCCTCCTTCTGCTCGCTGTGTGTGTTGCTCTCTCTCGCTCCTCCGCAAAAATAGAGCTCCCTTCTGATGACACCAGATCCTGCTTATCTAAAATTAGTGCTGGGCAGCATCCACTGACTGCTTTTTGAAATGAGCTGTTGCCATGCTGAATGGCAGCGGGGAACTTCAGACCTCTCCTGGCTCAGCTCTGAGTATTTCCCTGTTTGTCCATCAGGCTGACGTTTCTTCTTTTGTCGTGAGAGGTAGTTGTGGGTGTCTTTGGGCAGGCCCAGGGACTGATTACAGATGATAATTTTTAAATGTAAGTAAGATGACTTGAAAACTCTCTGTTCCTGCAGTCATGCTAACAGCACTGAGCTAGACAATGAGAGAGAGAAGGCATTGAAAAGCTGAGAAGTCTAACAGGGAGCGAGTGTAACAAAAACAGTTCTGGGACTAAAAGTGATCCAATCCAGGAACTGCAATGTGCGAAGCAGGTCAGTGTTTACGTTCCTCTCTCTAGAGGGAGCCACCAGATAAACGTTAGGAAAAATGCTGTATTCTTGTGAAGGAAACTTGTTCTCTCTCAAGGCAAAAGCTAAAGAGACACAGAGCCAGCCTGGCCCAAGGTCTTCAGCAGGCCGGGTTTTCAGCCTGCCGGCACCAGCAACAAGTCAAGCCTTTGCTGTGCCAACAGTGGTATTTCATAGGTAAAAAATGTTGGTACAAAAAAGGAAGAGGGGTAGAAGCTGCACTGGTGCAAACTTCAGGCAGCTGTCAGGAAGTGGTGTGTTCCTTGATGGTTGAAAGTCATCTTCAATATGGGACTTTTTACAGGGGCATATAGTGACAGGACAAGGGGCAATGACTTCAAGCTGAAAGAGGGCATGATTTAGATGAGCTACAATAAAGAAACTCGTTACTCTGAGGGTGGTGAGGTGCTGGCACAGGTTGCCCAGAGAAGCTGTGGCTGCCCCGTCCCTGGCAGTGTGCAAGGCCAGGTTGGAGGGGGCTTTGAGCAACCTGGTCTAGTGGAAGGTGTGAACTAGATTACCTTAAAGATCATCTAGTTCCAGTCCTCCATGGCAGGGGGGCTGGAACTACGTGATACTTGAAGTTCCTTTCTAACTCAAACCGTTCTGTGATTCCCTTGGCTGCTCACCCGCTGCCAGGCGGTCAGAGTGAGAATTCATCATGGCCCCACTTGCTTGTACAATAGTTGTCAGTTTTATGCCAACTCCCAGAACAGGTAGATGAACCGGTCCAGTGAAAACTCGATAACCCTAATTCCTCGTTACAAATCAATACACATAGAGAAAACAAAGGAACAGCCAGAAGCCAATAGAAATTAATTTAGGGGAGGTAAACTAGCACAATTTATTAAGTTATGTTGGAGACACTTATTTACATAATGGAACGGAAGTAGAAAGTGTGACACTATAATAATTAGTAGAAAAGATGGTCAAATTGCTGAGCAGTATTCCTGGAAAACACTGGCCTGAACAAAAGCCAGTAAGATTTTTTTAATGTAAAATCCCTCTATTCTCACTACGGT